CCTGGTTGCCTGTACAGTGGCATGGTCACACCCACTGTCCCCTAGGGACACCTCCGGGAAGCAGATGGAACTGTTCAGTGAGTGGACACTTCGGGGTGTCGTGGGGCTCACAGACAGCAGAGCTGAGGGTGCCCCTGGGGCTGCCACTGTGGGTCTACACAGGGCATGATGCTGTCCACCTGGGCTCCTCTTCCTGGAGTGCTGGGTCCTGGAGTCCCAGAATTGGCCTTCCGTGGCACACTGGCTCTGATGAGAGAGACTGGAGACCGGTGCTGGACGTCTTTTTGTGGGCCACTCTGGGACTGTGTGTAAAACACAGGCTGTCTTCATAGAAGTCCTGGGGTCTCCAAGGCAACCAGGAAGGAAAATATCCGATGAATTAAGCAGCTCTTTGCCAGATTCAGCGCACTGTTGTTTAATGTGAGCCCTGGTGCTGCTTGCTGGGAGTGCAAGTTATGTTGCCTATTTTGCAGATGAGTAAACGGAGGCAGAGAGGTTAGGTAGCTTGTTCAGGATTACAAGGCCGGTAAGTGGTGATGCTCAAGTCTCCCTGCAAGCCTCCTCCTGGCTCCAGGGTGCCTTAGGTGTCTTCTGCGTGGGTTTGCTGAATCCCTTGGTAGGTGGGGAAGGGACAAGTGAGTCGGCAGCTGGGAGCCGGGGCCGTGCCCTGGAGGCCTGGTTTGGACTGGTTTTAGCAGGAGAAGACCTGGTTTGACCTAATTCCCTGTTCGGGGACCCCTCACTACTTCTTGGGGATGCAGGTGGCAGTCCCTGCCACTGTCCAGGGTGGAGCAGATGGTCGGGAGGTCATCTACCGCAGTAGTGCATGTGGCCTTGCCCTGTCTCCTTGCCTTTGGCCATTTCTGGTCCTGACTTTCTGTGTCTAGGCTTCCCTGGGAGGTTATGGAGGGGCAGGATCTAGGTTCAGCACTGGCTTCCAGAAGAGGCTTGGCCTGTTCTTCCTGCTGAGCCAAACCAGCCTCTGTCACCTGGGGCCACAGGCCCCTGGGCACTGCCCCTGGTGGAGGGACTGGGGTGTTGGGGATTCAGAGCCCTCAAATCAGGGCAGATCAGGCCCTGCACAGCAGTGTCTTCTGTTGGATCTGAGTCCTTACGTGCATCTTCCGCTCTCCAGGCAGGGACTGAGTGCAGAGGGGAAGCACTGTGCTGGGAAAGTGCCCTGCCTGCCCCTGTAGCTGTGTGCTCAGGACGGTGGTCAGACCATGGGGGAGCTTGACCCTCTGTGAAGAGATGGCGTTGGGCTGGAGTGTGGAGACAGACTGTGAGTGTGTGAGACCTTGTGGTGAGACTGAGTCTGTGCATGTGAGTGGGTGTAAGTGTGTGTATGGCCTAGATAAGCAAGAGTGGCAGCTGACAAATGGCTTCTGGACACCTGCTTCATCCCAGGAGCCATTCCCAGCCGAGGTGGATTTTGCACCCAGGGGATCCCTCCCATTGTCTGCAGGTGTGTTCCATGGTCACAATTTGGGGGGTGTTGGAGGGGACTGGGTGTGCCCCTGAACATCGTAGGGTGCTCAGGGCAGCTTCAGGGTGCCAGTGTGAGACAGCAGCAGGGCTGGGTGAGGGCAGATGCTGCGGGCCCCAGAAGCTGCCCCCGCCCCAAGGCAGCTGAGCTTGGCGAGGAGGGACCGGTTCATCTGCTTGAGGCTCTGGGACTCTACATCCGTCGCATTGCAGGTCCTCATCATGGAAGCTGGTGCTGCTGCTTTAGCTCTAGGCTCAGCGTGGGGCCCAGAAGAACCTCAGGCAGGAGAAACTCCCTCAGATCGCAGCTTCCTGCCCTCCTGGAGCTCAACTGCTCTCCGGGGCAGAGCTGGAGGCACAGGGCCTGTGGGGTAGGAGTTGGGTGAAGACTGGGGTCACAAGGGAGGGCAGGATGCCTCACAGTGCCCTGGTGGCACTCAGAGCACCCTGGGGGTTTCCTTTTTACAAGCCCCTTATTATATATTGAACTTTCCTATAAGTTTTTCTTTGAAAGAAAGCATCAAAGAGAAACCTCAGAAAGGTCTTTGATTGCCCTGGTCAGGAGTCAAGGTGGAACCCGTGTTTCTTGCCTTCTCTTCCTCCTTCTTCCTCCCTCCCTCCCTCTCCCTTCCTTCACTCTCTTCCCCTCTCCTCTCCTTCACCCCCTCCACCTCCCTCCTTCCTTGTCCATACTGGAGATTGAACAGCAGGTGGGCGCACTAAGATACACTCCCAGCCCTTTTTATTTCTGTTTTGAGACAGGGTCGCACTGAGTCTCTCTCACTGGGCGCTAGGTTGCCCAGGCTGGCCTTGAACTTGGGATTTTCCTGCCCTGGCTTGCTGAGTAGCTGAGATTACAGGTAGGCAGCATCACGCCTCACTTCAGCTGCTCCTTTCTGCAGCTGCAGGGCGGCCTTGTTTTGGGCCCCAGCATCCGGCAGGGTCCAGGAGCAGAGGTCCCCTCTGGAGCCCCGGGTGTGCACAGCCCTGGTTACTGTGGGGCAGTGACCTAGGTGGGGAGACTTCCTAGCAGGTTTTCTGTCCCATCTGCAGGAAGTTTATGTTCAGGAGCACACGGGTCCCATTGTGCCCACGGGACAAGTGCGAAGCGTCCTGGGCCTTTTCCAGCCTCCATCCACACTTCAGAGTCCTTGGTTTGGACTCAGTGTCTCAGCCTCACCACTACTGAGCTTTTGAGTCATATAATTTCCTGTCGCGGAGCCGCCCTGTGTACCAGAGGGTGTTTAGCGGCATCTCTCCACCCACGACATGCCATGGCATCCCCAGTTATGACAATCCAAGATGCACACATTGCAGAGGTCCTGGGAGACAGAGTCACCCCAGATTGTGATAGACCCTGAGAGACTCCAGATATCTTCACCGCTGGGCTGGCTTCCTTCGGGCCCCGAGTTGGCTGAGGGCTCTGCTAAAAGAGGCCCCTCCAGCTCCAAAGAACAGCTTTGCAAGGACCTGATAGTTCAGGAGACTCAGCCAGTTTTCGAACCACTGCCTCCTGTGGCCTGGACGCTAAGGAGGAAGGAAAAATAGTGTGAGGCAGAGGGCTTTTACCAGGGGCATGGAGGGAACCAGAGGCTGAGATTGGTCTCCCTTCTGTCCTGATCAAGGAGCTGGAGAGACTGACATCGTATTCAAGCGTGATCACAGTTTCTGGACACCAAGGAGAGCTGAGCAGGCCAGGCTGAACTACAGCCTGTGTGGGTCCTTACAATGTGGAAGGGTTTCAAGGCATTTTGCTCCTGGGGGTTAGTGACTTTAAGAGGGAATTTAAGTAAGTGCACTGCTCATCTGATCAGGAAGGGAGCTGTACTGGGCGAGCAGCTGAGGGAACAGGCAGGTGTGCTCTCTGCCTCTGGAACTCATCGGTGGGGCTGAGGAGGTCCAGCTGGGATGGATCTTGAAAGATCCAACTGCATGCCTGGAAGCCCCTGTGAACTGCGGAGCCTTTCGCTCTCAGGGTGAGCAGTGTGCTTCCCCGGCCCTGGCTTCTGGAAGCCTCTCTAGGCTGTGTGGATGCAGTGTCCCACAGCCAGGGTCTCGGGACCATGAACATGCTGAATTAGCAGGGCTCATAGACCCTGGCTTTTCATGCCTCCTGCCTCCGAGCAGGCAGCAGTCCAGGAATGCTCACAGACATAAAACCGACTTTGTTTTCAGAATGTTCGGGAGTGTAGACTGCAGAGGCTGCATAAAGGCATTCTTGTGGGGTGGTTATCTACGGGGGAAACATCATGAGGCCCCAGGCCAGAGCATCGGGGCCAGAGGCACCCACCCACTGAATGCCGCTTATCGCCTGGGGTGTGGTGCTCGGTGGGAGAGCAGTTTCTTCGGGCGCTGTGGGCTCAGGGAGCTGAGTCTTCAGAGAAGCCTGGGCGCTTTCCCTTGCCACGGTCTCCAGAGAACCTCCCAGCTCTGCTGTAGAGGCACAGTGTGGTGGCCTTGGGGAGCTGTTTCTCCGGAATTTGTCTGCTCCAGAGGCTGGAATCTGTGAACCAGGTGGAGGCCTGGGCGCCCCTCTGTCACTCCCCCTCCTCCCCAGGTCCCTTCTGTGCTGCCTGTAACAACTATGCCTCCCCTGGGACCCTTGGTCCTCACCCTGGTATTGGTGAGTGTTTAATTTTTCCTACTTGACTATTGATCTGTGAAAATGAGTGTTTATCTCTCCAGCTCCCAGGTTAAACTCTGGGAAGGTATGCTCGGTAAATGACACAGCTCCACCCAAGCCTTGCCTTGCAGGAGAACAGGAGGCAGTGTTCCAAGCTCATCCCCAGCTCTGCCCAGTCTCCTTGCAGCTCCATTTCCAACTCTGCACCTGCTGAGTTGGAGCCCAGGAGGAGGAAATGAGCCTCCTGCTTAGCCCTGTCTGCTCCGCGCCCTGCTCTGACTTAACGTTACTCCTGCCCAGAGCTCAGTGCCTGGCAGGCCTTTTGGCTTAAGGGTTTTCCTGTTCCCTGTCCCTTGTCCCTCTCAGCAGGCAGCCTAGCATCCTATAGAGTGGCAGGCATATGTGTGTGTGTGTGTGTGTGTGTGTGTGTGTGCAGGGTGAGGCTTATACCACGCCTGCACAAGCTGGGCCCCCAGGCAGTGACCTTTTGTTCCCTTTCCTTGCCAGTGTGTGGCTGCCTGATTTGGGGATCAGGAATGTGGGCTGCTTCTGAAATGCAGTGAGAAGCATTCTGGGGATCGCGGGTGGGCCTGGACTTGATGTGGACCTGTTTTTGTGTTCTATCCATCCATCCATCTGCTTTGTTGGAAGGGAGCTCATGTCTGTGAGTTTCCTGTCCCAGAAAATCTGGGACAGCCCCAGGAGGAAGATGAGGGTGGAGCTGTGGAGACAGAGGACCTCCTTGTGCTGTACTGCATGTGCAGGAGGGAGAGCGTGGGCCCAGCACAGGCCTGACCTCTTCGCCCATCTTATTATCCCCTGGCCTAGGGTTTCCTTCTGCCAGGAAACGCCTCCAGCAGAAAGTGCTGACCTATTGGTTTCCCCCTTGCAGGCAGGTGACAGCACGGACATGTCTCGGGAGCTTCAGGACGTGGACCTGGCCGAGGTGAAGCCTCTGGTGGAGAAAGGGGAGGTGAGTGGAAACGATCTCAGCTCCTCCCTTCACACGCACAGGTGTGCACATGTAGACACACACGTGTGTGCACATAGCACCCCCCCACACAAACACCCACACCACATGTGTGTGAATACGAAGCATGCATAAACCTTTCGCACACATGTCTGCACTGCTTCTGTGAGTGCACAGGGGTAGGAGGCATGGGTTCAAAACCCGGTGTGGCTGTTAAGTGCTACGGGGCCCTGGGCCAAGCTCTTGTCTGCTGGTGCCTCGTTGCTCTCCTTGGTAGTGAGGGCGTCAGACCAGGCTTCTCTGAACAAGTCTGACATCCTGTGGTTCTAGAACGTTAGACGTGGAGTCCAGTGCCCATGGGGTCTGCGTACCCCGTAGCTTAGTGGTAAAGCTGCATACCATGAGACCACACTGCCTGGATCAAGTCCTGGCTACAGCGCTTTGTGGCTACGTCCACAGCGTGCGCCTCCGTTCTTCGTGCTATTGTTCTCCTCTGTAAAGTGGAGACGTGGGCTCCTGCAGGGGCCTTGTGAGGAAGGGGGCACTGATCCACACAGAGCAGGCAGAGCCTCTCTGCTCTACAGGAGATGAGCACACTCATTAGTGATCGAGGTGTCTCCTCGGCTCTTCTTGCTGGACCTTTTTCTGTGAGCAGCGGTCCTGCTGCTGGAAGCAGGAGCTGTGCGCTAAAGCCCGGTTGGCTGATTGTGCCGATGGTGGGCCAGGCTGTCTGTCTGCACAGCTGACACTGGGTTTTTATAATGTGCTCACGTTTCTCAGAGACTCATAATGGCCCGTGTTGATAACTCTAAAAGAATGTGGAAGCTTAGGCTTAAAAATGAAGTCACTCTAAGGCCAAGCCTGTGCCTTTTAGAATAATCATGAACATGCATTGACCACATGCTGGCTGCGTGCCTCTCAGCTAGCCATATGTCCAGTGTGGCTGAACTAGTTTCTGTGGTTGTCCTCATTGGACATAGGAGGGGGTGGAGTCTTAGGGAGTTCAGTTTATCCTCAGTTATACAGCTGCAAAGTGTGAGGCATGGAATCAAACCAGGTCGGCTTCCTGTGGTGAACAGACTGTTCATTTAATTTCTGTGTACGTCCCCATTTTGCAGATAAAGACACTGGCTCAGGTAGGAAGGGAGTTGCCCAAGTTCATTCTGGAGGTTGACACAGCTAGGATGAGAAGTCAAGACTGGGGAAGCCGCAGAAAATTCATGCATCATTCTGCACCCAGGGTCTGGGTGACCTTCTGTGGAGGGCCAGATGCTACCTCACTCTGCCCTCTATGTCCACTGTTTCTACATTTGAAGACCCAACTGTGGATCCAAAACATTTGAAAACGTAGTGTGTGTGTCTGTACAGAAATTGTCCTTGTTGTTGTTCTCTGAACGATGCAGTCTAAGAACCACTGACACAACTTTATTCTGTATCAGGTATCACACGTCACCTAGAGATGACATAGAGCATACAGGGCAATGTGTGTAGGCTGTGTGCAAACACGACTCCATTTTATATAAGGGACATGAGCAGCCGTGGACTTTTTATCCACGGGGTAGAAGCGGTTTCCTGGAAGCAGTTCCCTTCAGGTACTGAGGGGATGACTGTACTCAGCTTTGCCATTATGGCGTGCCAGCAGCCATGGACATTTTGTGAGTGTCTGGACTTTCAGTGTCCCAATAAAACATTATTTACAAAAACAGATGGTGGACTGTCATCTGTCTGTCTCTGGGTCAGAGGAACACAGGCGACATTTCTAGACAATCTAGGCCAAGCGAGGTTCCAGTCCTCCTCTGAGCTATACTTCCACAGCTCCCCTGGGGACAAGGACATTTTCCCCGACTTTCCAAGCCTTTCCTGCCACTGAAAGGTCTGGTGAAAGATGGAATTTGGATTGAAATTGATAGTGTTTAGATTGAGGGAAATGCTTAGAGATGTCCATTCTCACCTTCCATTCATGAAAGATTGGATTTTAATCTAGAACTCACATGATGCCAACCATGAAAAACATTGAAGGAGGACAATGATGTGGTCAGGTCTGAGTTTTTGTTTTGTACTGGGAATCGAACTTGGGTTCTTGCACTTGCAAAGCAGGCGGCAGAACCACTGAGGCCCGAGGTGTGAGTCTTGAAAGTGTGGCACCTGAGTGTGGTCTGGGAGACCACTTAACATTAACAGCCATTCACAGCCCTGCGTCCCTCAGGCGAGTTTTCTCACCAAGGCTGTCATCACAAAGGAATCGAGCTAAAGTGTCTTCCTTTCTGCTGGGCTGCCTTCATTTGAGAAGAAAAGGCCAGCCTCTCTTTGCAGGGAATAAGAGCGCCCCCCAGAGGAAGAGGGTAGATACAGACTGGGGGTGGAGACCCTGTGTCCCTGCCGTATTTCTCTAAGAAGCCTGACTTCCGTCCTGTCTCTTGTTTTTCCCACAGACCATCACTGGCCTCCTGCACGAGTTTGATGTCCAGGCAAGTAGAAGATGTAGCCTCCCTCCCTACTCCCTGCCCCTCCTCTCTTTCCTTCCTTCTGTTGGTGGGAAGTAGATCACTCTTCAGACATGGGGGGCAGGGGAGGGGAGGAAGTGGGCTCAGTCAGGTCCCACACTTAGCCATCTCCTGGCAGGAAGTGGCATGAGTTCCAGCCAGAGAAGCAGGAGCCAGTCACATCCCTGTAGAGCAGCAGGGCAGACGACTGCACAGCCCCGGCCCTGTGGAGCCCTCAGCCCTGTAAGGGGCGTGTGGGAAACAGTGGGGCATCTAGCAGGTCGGAAACCCTGTGATGGGAAGGCTCTGGCCAGGAAAATGAAATGAGCTCTCCCTGGGGTTTGCTGTCCTGGGTCTGAAGCACGGCCATCCTGCTTGGGGTTGGTGGGAGAGTTAACACGCTCTCAGGACAGCGGCCCGGGGTGTGTAGGTCCTGGACTGGACTTAGCATCCCCATGGCTGGGAAGGCCCACGCCATGCTGAGCCTGAGGTGCAGAGGAGAAGGGGGAGGCAGAAAGCCTGACACTCGGGAGATCGTGCCCGCTGGGAGAGGAGCAAACAGCACCCAGCCAGCCACAGACAGCTGAATGCACCAGCCTGAGCCTCCACCTGCTCCCACACAGGGGTCCCTGGCTTCAGGCCGCTCTCAGCTCTGGTCCCCTTCCTCTGTCCCACCCTCTACTCCCTCCCAAGACTCTTGCCCCACTGCACTCCCCCAGCCATCCACAGGCAGGGTCTTGCACTATCTTTGGGAGGAAAAGGAAAATGAAGGCAGGATGGAAGCTTTGGATAGCACAAGGCCATGCAGGCCCTCTTCCCTGCCATGGGGCACGTGGGCCTTGTGTTGGACCATCCACCTGGGGTGATCTCGGGGCTCTGTGGAGCCACTGGGAGGGCCATGACGAGCCCCGTGGTGGATCTGTCTTTCCATGCAGTGATTGTCCATTTCCCTCAGGGTCAAAGCCAAATCCCAGAAGCAGGAAACAAGGGCTGCGATCCCAGGTGCCCCTTCTTGGTGATTGGCCCAGGGCACACTGCTTTGCCCCTTGCAGCCTTCCTGAGGAGGGAAGTGTGTGCATTTCTCTCCTTGTTCAAGAGCAGTGTAGAGAGGTTGGCAGAGGTGCACCTCTACATCGTGATGGACCAACCTCAGCACATCCTACCTGCTAACTGTTGAGGGTCCCCCATCTTTTTATTGTGATAAGATGCACATAACAGGGAATGTTGGTCTTCACCGTTATACATGACCATTCGGTGGAGTTAAGTACATCCACACTGTACTGTACTGTCACCACTGTACTGTACTGTCACCACCATTCATCTCCAGGCTTTTCACTGTACAAAACTGAATCTCTGCCCCATTGAACAATGATGCTGGACTTCCCTTTCCCGGGCCCTGGGATCCACCATTCTGCGTTTTGTCTGTGGGTTTGACAGCTCTAAGTGCCTCATGTGAGTGGAACCGTGCAACAGCTGTCCCTTGTCCCCGACTTATTTCACTGAGCTCCATGCCCTCCAGGCCTGTCTGTGTCACAGTATGTGTCACGGCCTCCTTCCTTTTTAAGGCTGAGTCATACTCCCCCATGTGCGTTTATCACATTTTGCTTAGCCATTCATTCCTTCGTGGATTCTTGGGTGGCTTCCATGATGAATCCTGCTTTGAACATGAGTGCACAGATAACTACTTGAGACTCATTTCCGTTCTTGGCGGGTCTGTGAGTAGTAGAGTTACTGCATCCTGTGGTGATTGTGGATGTTTAAAATCTCAGTCACTGATTGTGGAAAACCTAGAAAGCAGAGATTATCTGTTCCCTGCAGTTCTCACTTCGGTGTCACTCCTGTCCTCTAGGGCTGCCGTGGGTGGTAGAAGAGGACAGGAGCAGTGGCCCTGCTACTAGTTCAGGTGGAACCAAGGGCTCTGCGGGCCAGAGGGGCTGAGGAGCTGCAGTGTTAGCAGGCTGATGAAGCGGGACTGCTAAGGGGAGGGAGGGGCTGGCAGAGGTCAGGACAAGGTCTAAAAGCACCATGTGCCAGACCCGGGTTTGTCCCCTCTGACCCTCCCCAGTGCTCTCCTGTAGGGTGGGCAGTTTCCCTGGTACAAAACCCTTTGTTCTTTACATGCGTGGCCACTCAGTGCCCAGCGGGGTCCTCCATGCTGGGGATACAGTGGCAAGGAGACAGGCGGCCCCCTTGCTTCCAGGAACTTCCGTTTGGAAGTAGTAGCTCAGCCCAAAGGAGTCTCCGTGCTGAACCTGCACGAGGCATTGTTCTGTGTGCCCCACACTGAGCTCACCCGGGCAGTCCGGTCTGACGCGCACAGATGGAGGGCCTGAAAGCCGCTGAGGCTAAGGAACCTGCCGGAAGCCTCAGGGCTAGGAAAGGAAGGGCCAGCTTTGTACTCGAGCCACAAGCTGCCAGAGCACGGGTTTGAAACTTCTTCTCTGACTCCCCACAAAGGTGAGACTGACGCATAAAACAACTGGGCAGTGTGACTGCTCCATCTATGGAAGGGGCATTGATGGGAATAGCAGGGACTGACCTGAAGCAGGTGAGGGGTAGGGCATGGTAGATGCTGTCTGGGCAGTGGCCTAGGGAGAGATGGAGCCTGCCGTGCGCCAAGGAGATGTGAGCCCCAAGTCCTGAATTCAGAGCTGTCCACGGACAGAGAGGTGTCACTCCCATGAGCTGTTGGCAGGCCCCATCTTACCACGCACCATGGAATCTGAGCCGAATCTGACTGTCGAGACACTTTGTGAAGATTGTTACCAAAAGACTTGTGTACAAAACTACTCTTGGGTGTGGCTCCCAGACCTAATGGTCACCTTTATGAAGGCCACCCCAGATTGTTGACATGGTCATGACTACCATGAATCTCCATGTCCCTCGGTGTCGGGTCACTGTAGGATTGCCTTCAAAATGTGTCACATTGCATGACGAGATGGCCGTGAGGGGTCCCTGCACCCAGGGCCAGGAGCTGAGCGTGACAGAGCCTCATCGGTTGGCCTAGGTGGCTGCAGGGTGTTCCCATCCAGGGATAGGCGAGTGTGCTCCAGCCTCAGGATGCTCATGGGGGTGCCAGCAAAGTGACAGTCACCTGCCAGCTGCTGACCTCTGATGAGCCACGCTGGTCCCCAGCGCTCCTTCTGCCCTGGCTCAGTCTTCTGGGACTTGTCCCCTCATCCTTACTTTGCAGATGGGGGAGCCAGGGCTAAGAGGTGACCTTGCTGGTCCCAGCTCTGTCAAACCCTCATCCCTGGGGCCTTACTCCATCCAGACCTGAAAGGGCCAGGCCAATTTTTAGGATCAGGTTCTTATCCTGCTTCGCAGTGGCTATTTTTTTTAAACAATCTTGCCAAGCACATGGTCTAACAGTGCTTCACTGGGCTTATGTGAAACCTAGGAGCATGGGCTGATGGGGACTTGGATCACCGTGCCTTCCTGGCCAGCCACTTGTATCTCTTCCCCCGTCTGCTTATTATCACAGGGGTCCTGCCTGCCTAAGGATTTCAGCTGTTTCCCTGTGCAGATGCGCACCTGCATCTGCAGGAAGGATGGTTTCACCTGGGCCTGCTGAGAAGGTTCTGGCATCCAGGTCCAGGAAGTTGTGTTTATGAACTGAATAGCTGGAAGTGTAGGGTATCTCGGGTTCCAGCTTATTTTCCTTGGCTGGATCTCTCGAGTCCAAGACTGTCAGAAGACTGTATATGCCTTTGAGATGGACCAGCCTTATCTCTTCGGCTGGACCCTCCGATGGGGAGGGTTTGAACAGCCACCAGATGCTACCTTGTCTCAGGGCTTCCCCACCGGGGCAGCAGGGGTCATCTTTGTTTGCAGATGAGAGACCAGTTTGAAGATATGTAGGCACTTATGAAAGGTACTGTTGAGATAGTTCTAAAATTGGGTCAGGCCACACTACAAGTGTGACAATCATGAAGCCATGAAGGCCTCCGTCTCCAGTGTAAACCCTATGCCAGAACTGCTGAGTGCTTTTGTGCGTCTTATCACTTGATCCTTGGACCTTCTTAGTGTGCCCTTGAAGACTCGAAGCCCAAGAAGGTCATAAGGAATGTGCACAGAGTCACACAGTGTTGAGATGGAGGGCAAACGCTGTCTCCATTCCCATGTCCAGAGCCAAGTCCACAGGGAGCTCTGGGGAGGGGGTGACAGAGTTGTGTCTGCTACCCATAGTTCCTAGCTCTCAGGCTGGGGGGCTCTCTGTGCCTCAGATTGCCTTTCTTGTTGGTGTCCTTTGATGTTTCTAATTTCTTCCACCTGGATCTTTAATTATTCAGCTGGTTTGATTTGATTTGGTTTCCATGGGAATCTGTGTTTGTGTGCTCACCAGGGCTCTCTAGGAAACGGGCTGCTGTTCCCCACAGGACCTCCTGGTGGAGGGAGGCAGGGCAGAGGGTGTGGCGGACGTGGCCTCCTGAAGTCTGGCTCTTGGGTGCAGGGCAGCGTGATCCCTCTTAGGGGCTGAATTTTTCCTGTCTCTTGGAAATCTGTCAGTGTAAGGGAAAGTGGAAAGAGTGACCCTTCACTAATTGCTTTCTTTGCACACAATTGCTTCTTATTTTCCTGTCCCTCGACTGAGGTGAGCAGAATGCAGAAGCTTGGGGATCTTCACCCCTCGCTTCCCCATCCTTGCCCACTCCCCACCCTGCTTCCTGGCGAAGGCACTGGGACTCAGAGCAAACTAGGTGACAGATGGCAGGGTGCTCATCTGGATCAACACAGAGGGAGGCTGCGGGTGAAACGTGGTTGCCCTGTCTGCCTCCTCTCCTGGGTTCCCTGGGAGTGCCCGCCCAGAACGAAGGATGCCTGACCCACTGGCGCATGCGGGGATCAGAGCGGGTCTGTCCAGGCCAGGCTCCAAAACAGCCAGGGAAGACCTGTTCTCCACGTGCCCCAGAAAGGTGCCTTAGACAGAGTGGGTCCAGATCCAACCCTGTCTTTTGCCACCCCTTAGCCTAGGACTTAACGTT